AATGACTTACCCTTTGCAGTATCAGCTGATTTCTTATTCCCATCATTATTTGATTTGGGCTGTTTGAAGTTCTTATTAACATATTTGTAGCCACCTCGACCTTTATTTTGATTGAATCTGCCTCTCTTGTAATTATAACCTCTCGTATTATCGTCATTTCTCCTTTTCAATGTCTGTCGTCTGTCGTTAATCTGTCCAGATTTTTGTAAGTTTTTATTGTAATTATACCTGCCATTACCTCTTTTATAAACTCGACCACTCGTAGATCCTTGCTTCTTTAGTCTTTCCTGTCTTTGAGGACACTCGTCAGCCTTATGGTTTGTGAACTTATTACACTCGTAACATTTCACAACACCTGTTCCTTTTCGGGGGCAATCATAACTGATATGACCAAAATCAGAGCACTCATAACATCTCGCACTCGTACCTTTCTTAACTGTCATTGCTGCTCTGGTCTCTCCTGATTTTGTCTGATTTCGATTTGCCTCTGCCTGCATCAAAAACATTTTCAGACTCTCATAATCTAAACCCTTACCAGTCCCACTCACTCTTATAAACTCAACAGCTTGAACCGAAGGAACCGTGGTCATAATAGCATTATAAAATGTGTCGCGTTTTTCCTCCTCAGAAAAGGTCGCAGTGTCTGAGATATTCCCATAATCGCGTATGCAGTTTTCAAACCTTTCACAAAACTCAGAAGCACTCTCTTTATCTGGTGAATACTGCATGGTGTGAAAATTCCTTCTAATCATACTAGTAGTTAAATTCACCTCATATCGTTTTAATTCTTTTATTTTATTTAGTATTTCGACAGGATCTTTTAAATGAGCTACCTTTGTGTGATAGTATGACTCTAAACGATTTATGAGAATATCACGCACTTTGAATTTATGTTTTGTCAAAGTATTTGCATCATAATTTTTAGTCGGTTTTTCACTCGTGTCAATTACATACAATAGTTCAAGCGATCTCAATTCTGAAGAAAAATAATCGTAAAAGTATTCAAATTTCGTTTGATTAGTTAATTTGTAATCACGGCGCGTACCCACATCTTTACTTATTATCTCATACTTTATTGCATCTTTAACATCATCAGCTCTAACGTATCTGTCGTCATTCTGTCTTACATTGCTATTTAAATTGTGACCACTCGGTTCTCCCAGATTGATGTCTGAGCTTCTGTTCTGGGTCATGCAACTCACATCAGGTTCACACTCTTTTACCTGTTTTATATTACACTCGATTTTCTCTACTTGTTTACCCAGATCACTCATATTTTGTCGGTTACGACATAACTCTTCCATAATTTCTGATTGCCTTTTCTCCATGCTTTTCATAGTTTCAGTTAAGCTAGCCAACATTTTGGACTGCTGCAACAGCATATTGTCCATGGCATTGAAGCAAGGTATCCAGGCAGTCGCCTTTTCGTCAGTCTTTTGTTTAGTTTCTGTATTTGTGTCATCTAAACAATTTTTATTGTCAGATTTATTCAATAGTTTAGGAACGTTAAATTTCTTTAGAGATATTTTTACCGGTTTTGTCTCAATTATTTTAGGTAGACCTTTACCTTTTGTCTCAGTGGCCAACTGAGTTATATTATCTCCTTCTACATTATGAATCATAGCTCTCGTTGTGTTGACACTCCTCTTATAACTAGTTCCGTCATATCTAGTTCCCTCGTCACTCTTTCCGTCGTCACCACTACTGTCGTCATTCGTTCTGTCGTTACTGATTCTCTCGTCACTCTTTCCGTCGTCACCACTACTGTCGTCATTCGTTCTGTCGTTGCTGATTCTCGTAGCCAACCATTGTTCCTCTACAGGATCAACTATTTCCTGTTTCTTTACAGTACTCGGCAGCACAGCTTTCACACCCTGTTTCTTACATTTGTCCAGCCATACTTCTAGCGCTTTCAACTCCTCTTTGGTAACAAATGTTTTAGCTGCAATATATTGAGAAAGAATAAAAATCTGACATTTGGCAGGATTTTAAATCATGTCGTTAGCTGGATCCACCGAACACAAGTTTCTCCAGACTAAGACGAGCAAGTATACATTTACCCGAACACAAGGTTACACATATACAAACTCTACTCTCATACATAGTAGCCAAATGCACGGCACTCAACCACCAAGCATGAGTAATTTGATTTTAATGGTTTAAAAATTATTATTTAGAATGTCTTCAGACATTCATAGGTCTTTTATTATTCGTGCTTTAAATATGCACAGTTACTCGAGATTTTTAATAATTAAATTTACGATGCATCTTAATTATAATTTCATTTGTATAGCTATACATATTTTCTTGGAAATATTTCAAAAATAAAATAAAATACCCTTCGCTCACCTGCTTTGTACTCAACACTCGTCTGAGTTTTTAGTGAAATATAATTTTCATGCAGGGATAACTCAATTTCCTCATTTGGGTGGTTTGCTTTAAGCATAAACACACCCTCCAGCTTGACCATAACATTTTCAAATGTCATGTTATCAAGCATTTCATTTAACGTGTCTATTTCAAGAGCTGTAGGAATGAAAAGAATTGTTAGTTTACATGCAAACATATATTTTATAGTTGATCAACTTTTATTTAATTTAGTGTAGCGAGAATTTGGCCCGTAGTTCGAGACAAAGAGCCAGTAATGCGTCTTTCATTTGTTTGTTTATTATTATTTTTTTTTTCATCTACATTCCTTCGCTCGTTGTCTAGCACTCGTTTTCCCGTTCAACTGTCTGATCATGCGCACAACTCGTCAATTGTCGTCACAATGGACTCTCAAATTCCCGCCAAGCCAAACCTCGCCGCACGATCGTGCTTAGTTTCTAATTTATTTGTACTTAATCATGATTTTATTTTTATACTAGGCCTAGATTTTAAATAACCTTTATTCAGTAAAATGAACAATGATTTCTTTGTTTTAGCTAAACATTGGACACTCGTTGACTATTTTCCAAACCGTGTCATCACTCGTCAAACCGCCTTTCATTTAATAATGTATACATTAATTTTCTTGTTCATTTTACTTTAAAAGAATTGATACTAACTCGACGACACTGTCGATCCTTCTTTGTCTTTGTTTTCAGCCATTGAAACTGCAAGTCTTCTTTGTTAGATTTTCCAAAATCACTTACACGTTTCTCTATACTACACCTTTTATAATTTAACAAACACTTTATTAATCTGCTCAGTGAAAGCGAGCTCTGGGCCCATAACCTGTTAGAGGTTATGTGGATTTAAACAATAATAATAAGACTTAGTTTAATTAGAAATTAGAACTTTATTTATCAATGAATATATTATTGAACCGTAATAGACGACCAACTTGAATCAAGTGAAGAGCACGACGAGAGACGTTAGCCGAAAGGCTACGGGGGAAACCGATTAGGGCCGAACACTCGTACAGGCCCTATACACTCAAATATGTCGGAGACGCTGATTTCCAACATAAATATTTTAAATAATTTTTTTTTATATATTAAAAAATTCAATTCTTACTTGTAAGGCAAGTTTTCGATATTAAAAATAAAATTATAGTTAGATTCCTTTGTATAATGTACTTCAATACGAAAAGTCCAATCAATGGTAACGAAAATTTCTAATAAAATTAAAAATAATGATTATATATAAGAATACTTTATAGCATAAATCTGGCTTTTTAGTCTAAGAAAACCGTTGATTTTGAAACTCAAAAGTTTATTCAACATCAAGAAATAATTACAAATGCACTCATATAGCTACTTGAAAATTATTCTATTCCTACTCTCTCCTTTTCTTTAATAACGAATGAAAGCTCATTTCCATTTTACCATGATAATTTTAATAAGATTGACTTCAGCTCTAAATTTGCGAGTAAGCAAAGCTCTCTTGCTCATTTATGATTAAAATATAATGAAAACAGCGTTTCTATGCACAAAAGTAATATGATATTGTAGACAGTTGCATATAAACGAAAATAAGAAAAATGAAGATATTTTTCACATTTAATTTTAGCACAGTTCGTTTCTCTTAAATTCTTTTTGTATTTATTTATTTATTTATTTATTTATTATTATTATCATAGTACTTTTTATTTGTCTTTCAAATAAACTAAAATGAGGTGTATGTAAAAAAAGCGACTATATCAGTAGTGTTCACACTCTCGAAGCTTACGTAAAAGGACTGCGGATTTTCACACAAAGGGGATGAGTTCGTTTCGTGCAAACAATTCCACGTCGGCGTCGTTTGGTTTGAAAATGTAGATATATACCGACAACGTGAACACGACGACTAAACGAATAGGGTTGAGTTGCTGTCACTATATACACAACACAGGTGTCGAAAAAAAAAAAAAAACTTTCTTTAATTTTTTTATACAATAAAATAAAAGTTTCAAGTTATTTCAATTGTTTTTAATTAAACACCCGGATGTATTAATACTACTGGAATTTTTTTTCTCAGTAATATTATTGTAGTGGATATTATTACTGTTAAAAAATACAATAGAGTATTTTATATTAACTGATTTTTTTTATTATTTTCTTATTAAATTATTTAAACTATTTTCCTCGCTAAAATAAGACGTATCTGAAAGCACATCAAATTTTTATTATGAATGATAAGATAAACATTAAATAATATTTATTTATAATTAATATGATATTTTAATTATAAACATGGAATGTTAACTAAAAATAAATCTTCTTTTTTATGAACGTAAATAAAAAAATCAGTTTGAATTTATTAAAAAGAAAAATTAATTATTTAATTAATTTTGCACATTTTTTGCTTAATTACACTCGACAATTTACTTATAATCTTATGTAAATTATACAAGAAAAATTAATTTCCTCTTTTTTTTTAACAAATTACATTTTACAAGCATTATAACACAGGATTTATTATTATTATTATTTTAAACATGGCCCACTTAAGGGTTAAGACACTTTGTCTGACATGGCACTTATAATTATTTATTTAATGGGTAGTTCTAAATTGTTATCAAATAATTCAATTACACTATGGTATACCATAGCAAAATATGGCCAAGTCATCGGTGGCCATATTTCATAGCTACTCGGGTATATTAATTTTTAATAAATATATTCATAACATAATAATAAATTCCAACAATTGGTAGTTGCACAGCAGACTACAAAAATCGAACATAAATAGGTACGATTCCAAAGGTTCACCATTAAAATAATTTTATTGATTCGTACTCCAAGTATGAGCCACCTCTTTTATAGATATTAAGTATTCCGGATATAATCATCACTCTTATCCTGGAAATACATTAATAATTAAACAGTTAATAAAACTGACGATCTATAAAATTATTATCAAAAGAGTCATCATGGAGTTCTAATCCAAAAGAACATTTATTTGATAGAGAAGTGTTTTAATTTATTATAGTACTTTCGAGGTAGTATCAAAGTGATAATCATCATTGCTATTTTTTTTTCTTCACTGACTTTTTTAGTTTACACACATTGTTATCCTCAATTTTTAGCTCACACAAAATTCTGAGTTTATTTAAACCAAGCAATGTTTAGTGTAGAATTGTTGTAGCTTAAAAAAATTATGGAAATGTCTTGAGGATATGTGTAAATCATCCAGATGCTTTTCTTTTATGTGCAGCAAAGTAACTTTCAGAATTTAGAGATACAACTTTACATGACTACTCTTGCAGAAATATTATAAGAATATTGTAGAGAGACTAGAAAATGCTCGTGGTTCATGCATATAAAAGATGTATGACTGGACTACTTCGATTCTATCGAAATAAATCCAAATATTTTCCACGAAAATAAATTTTGTTATAAAATATATCATTGTTAAACCTTTTTTTTATTGTATCGATGATGAAATGCTTTTGAAAAAAAAAAAAAATCAGAAGTGAAAAAAAAATAGTTGTCTGTGATGTATTATCTCCTTTGTGTGAAGAATTTACCAGTGAAAATGTTTAAAAGCTCAGAAAACTGAATAAGAATCTCTACGAGATCGTGTAAAGTGGATAAGAATAGTTTTTGTTACGTTTGTAGAAACTTTGAGATATTGAGGAGAAGAGTAAAAGCTATTACGTGGAGTAAAAGTTTGAGTTTTTTTGAAATGCAATAATTTCCACTCCATAACATTCTTTTATAAAATTCACTTTGCCATCACACCTCACAATTGAGTTCATATTGCTTATTGTTACGATATTACAATCAATTTACTTTCAGTCAATCACTCTAAAAATAATGTCTATAAATGCAAACATTTGTTAAAATATATTTTAAATTAAAAAAGTTTGGTCTAGGTGTGACCCGGAAGGTCTACATGATTAACTTTCCGGTGACAAGTAACAAAATATTGGAAAAACACATGAATTGTAAAAATTGGTTAGTTTGACTTTTTTTATTCTGTGCAAAAACAACTTGGCTGATTTCTACTCAAAATTTAATCAGTTTTAAGTTACATAGTAATGCATTAAATAAAACTAATCCCATGTCAAGATTATCATTTGTTCGCTAATAATTTATAAAATATTTTATTTAATTAATTGCTTATTAAATATTATATTCAATTAATTATTTATTTAGGAAAAATATTCATTTATTTAATCCTACAATAATTATATTCACTTAATACTACAATTTTTTTGTACATCAGTAAGGATCCACCCCAATTTCAAAGTAACAAAAATTTTTAACGTCTTATTTGGTTTTAAGTTTATATAAATAGACTATTCATGTCGGGGGAAGCCATTTGTAATAATTATTTATAATAAAAAAATTTTTTTTTTAAATATTTTTTCAATTTAGCAATCTTTTATTAACAAATTTTCAGAAGCTCCATTTGGACATGGGTTTATTTTTAAGTTATAACATTGGTTTTTGTTATAAATAATCATGAAAACTGGCTTTCTCCATCATATATTTTCCGGTCATTGGTAGTAAAAAATGTGCCTATCGTTAAAAAAATTTCTGGACTGAAATTGGGATGGAGTCCTACTAATGCAAAATTACCAAAAATATGGATAATATTTTAAATGACAAAACCAAATCTTAAAATAAAGCAAAGAAAATCGTCATGTCAACTTCAAAATTCCAATGAATGATTCCTTAAAGTTGAGTTTAATAGTTGAGTGTAACAACTGACCCTTAATGTCATAATTAGAGTTTAGTTAGCCAAGTAAAGTGCTAAAGCTATTCCCGAACAAGCTTCTACAAGCTGCTACACTCCATCGAATGATGAGCATTCCTTTAGTTTGTGCTTTAGAACTATACGCAAGTTCAGTCATTGTGCCAGGAAAAAGGTGCTCGTGCGGAAAAAGACCGGGTATATTAAAGGGTTAGACTGGTTAGAGAGGGTACGAAGGAAGCACTAGAGTGGCAGAAGAGCAGTGAGTGTTACCTTATGCATACCAATAAGCATTAGAAGACATGGTCCTACCATCTTGTTCGTATGTTACCAACTTTCTCAGTATACTTATTATAAAGACTCTTGTGAATGTACTGTAATTAACTAAGCTCTATACTTTAGGGTGAGCTTTACACTCCTGTGAATTCCATTTGCAAAATTCAACCAAAGAATTTAAATGATTTATTTAGAGAAAAACATTCATTTTACAAACACTGAAAATTTCTATAGAAGTATAGTTTTGAAGTGTTTTATTTCAATACACTTCAAGTGTTTTAAAATAACATCACAAATTTGTGAATATTTATTTATTTATGAATATTTATTAAATAAGTGTTGTTATTTTAAAACACTTTTAATGTATTGGAATAAAACACTACAATTTGTAGTAAAGAGTTGGAATTTTTTACTCACACTTCATTGATTTAATTGAATTAAATTTATTTGTTAATATCTTGAATTAATGTTGGATATTGATGAGTATTTTTTATAATTGCCAATATATTTAGATAAATAATGTTATTTATTGGATCTCTCTAATTGAAATAATTAGCTTGTAATAAATATATTTAATACAGATAATCCAGGAGCTGTTTTATATTGATAATACTCACCGATATTTATTGCCAATTAGTGAAAGAAGAATCAGAACGATAAATTAAACTCATTTACTGTTTTACGTTCATGTATATTGTGTGAGAAAATTTACATTGAAATAATCATTTAATGTAATCGTTTAATGCTTTTTATACATTACTTCAACTTCTCTAACTTGTTGCTGTATAAAATGAGCTTACTGAAAATCTAAATGTGTTGTATAACATATAATTTCAACACATTTATCTGTATCGTTTCTATCTAAGTACATTAGTCTCTTTTTACTGATCCATAACCGTACAAAAAATCTATATCCTTATAATTTACTTATAGTATGTGAGCTGTAGACATTTCTTATAGCATTCTAGAATACGATAGAGTTTTTGCTTTAACTTATCCTCAGGCAAGGAAAATTATCGTATGTGGTGTTAGTTAATTACAGATTGGTGTTTCTCATTATGATAATGGGCTTTTGAAAATATACAATCAAGGTAAAAACATTATTTGGTAGGAATCACTGCTAATTAACTGTATTCTAATATACATCAAAATAATATTTCATACTTTATATTTAAAAAATAGTAGAATTTTATTTTTTTTAATGAAAAAAATTCTTTTCTATTCTGTAAAATGAAAAATGATTTTACAACCCTAGAATCGCAATCCTTTTTTTAGAGCTATTGAGTGTACATTAGGTTGAATACACCCCTATGCTATGTTCTCAAGCTTTAATATCTCAGAATCCATGGCATTTTTTAAAATTTATCAAGGGACATTTTTTGTAGCTAAGAGGATATTTTTTGTAATGAAATTACTTTTGGGTTGAAAAAAATCCTCTTTTATAACAATCTGGACTCTCATTAATTATATTTTTCTCCACAATTTTTTAAATTCTATTATTATTATTATTATTATTATTATTATTATTATTATTATTATCATCTTGCGATTCGTCAGAGGTGTCTGGCCAGGGATCCCAGGGCTCCGACCCACCTGGGGCCTGACCAGACGGAATTATCCTGCAGGCACCTGACTCCCTCAGGTTTGAGGGTGAGCCGGGGCTGCAGCCGTTCAGTCATTTGTTACAGTCGTCTCAGGATTCGGAGAGAACCAAGGATGACCGCTTTCTGCATACGAGCCGCGAGAATCTCAGCCGGACTACGGCAGACTGGTATTGTTCGAAGCTCTGTCAGAAAGCGGTCCCTCATCCCTCCGAGGGCGCCAATCACCAGGACTATCACGTGCGCTGTGTTTTTTTAGGCCGTAAGAGGGACGGCGGAGGTTGTACAGAAATTTGTGCCTAATAACTTGTGTGCCACTTTGTGTGATGAGATTGATTACTACCGGATGTACGCTCAATACCAAGATCTAGCGTTAGAGAGTAGAGACTAGAGACCCGCACCTAATCTCTAGTACCTAACCTCTTAGTACCTAATCTAAAAGTGGATTTCTGAATTAATTATTGATGATTTTATATTTTTTTTATTTTTTATTTTTTTATTATTATTATTATTATTATTATTATTATTATTATTATTATTATTATTATTATTATTATTATTATTATTATTATGAGTATTATTAAATAAATAATTTTATAACAATATAATTATTTTAAATAATTAATAAAAATGAGCTAAAAAATCCAAAGTTGGTTTGAGAAATTGAATTCCAAACTCACGAGTTAGGATTTGAAATACTTTATGTGTGCCATCAGGATTAAAAGAATTGAATTATATTTGTATACAAGGATTTTCCAAATAAATTAACATTAACTAAACAGACACCTATAACAAAGCTTCTTTACATTCCAGGTAATCCTGATGCCTCATAGCCACACAGATCCAGGATGGTTGAAAACGTTTGAACAATATTTCCACAGTTCAACTCGTGGTATCCTGAACAACATGGTGGCAAAGCTTCAACAGTGGCCCAATATGACGTTTATTTGGAGCGAAGTTTCCTTCCTATCTCTGTGGTGGGAAAGGTAAGAACACAATATCGAGATTTTTTTATATCAACAAACTATTATCAACAATAATGTCACTGAACTGATTACCAAAGTGAGTTAGAATTTAGAGGCATACAACGTCGTGACAATTTACAGTTCAGTTTATCGCATCCGTTCGTTCGCTCGTTCTCTTGCAATCTCCGTAAAGTAACTGAGTGTTTTATCCGCGAGCGAAATTGCAGTTCAGAGTACCAACGAACGTATCGCAAAAGGGATTGTCATGAAAAGAACCATTAAGAGAACCTCTGGTATAAAATGTGAATCCAGATACTAAGAACAACGACGAAGAAAACGAAAATATAAAAAATATATATATAATAAAGTATGATAAGGCCACAAAATTCTCTCTTGTGATATTGGCACTTCTACAAGATCATGTTAAGACACCGTCGACTCTAGTGACGTTAAAGAAAAAGCAGACGTTAGAATTGTCGTGTTGAATAGCAATAAACAGCTTGAGTACAAAAGACCGGATAAGATAAATAAAACGAGTTTTCTAGTGTGTTGAAAGTGATCCTTCTTTAGTTTCATTTTTTGCTAAAATCTTTAAAAAAAGGTTTTAAAAAAAAATGCAAGATATTGTTTTTTTTTTGCTCAAACGTCTGTTATAGACATAGAATATTAAATAAAATCTCGTATTAAAATCGACCTTTTTATTGAAAAAGTTTAATAAAATTCTCCAGGTGAAATCTATTGTACTGATTATAATTAGAATTTCATTAAATTTCATACTGTCTGAGGTTCGACATTGGTTTTACTGTGAAATGATAAAATAGAACTCAGGAATATTTGTTTTTCCTTTAAACGAATATTATTGTTGAGTATTATCTGAATATAATATCCCCCAAGCACAATGAGCTTCAAGTACTTAAGCCAAATTAGCTTTAAAGCTTGAACAATTGTTCAGTATTCATAATTCATTTATTGTTTTTATATTTCATTATTTTCATTTTCATCAACAATAATACTGTTAACAAAAATTATTTGCAATAAATCAATCAATTTTCAACATAAATTATATTATTTTCATCATAATAAATATATTTTCATAAAATTGAAGTAAATAACAACCTAAAAAGTAGCATTAAAGAAATGACAACATATTTTTCTACTCAAAAAAAAAAAAGTTTAAATTTCCATGGAGCTATGGAGCTATTGCAGTACTTGCACAAGCTAAAAATATTTATCTTAAAATATATTAAAATGTATAAAAACTCCATTGCTCTGAATTGCTCATAAATTTGTTGACAATCTTATTTAACTTGACTTTATATATGAGATTGTATAAAAAAAAGAAAATAGATGACAAGAAAAAATATAATAGGGTATGGTGGTGAAATGTGGTTGATGGATCTTGTCTGTTTATTGGTTCCAGTGCTCACCCAACAAAGAAAGCAGTGGTTAAACGTCTGGTAAAGGAGGGTCGCCTCGAAATGACCACTGGTGGCTGGGTGATGACAGATGAGGCAACATCTCACATTTACGCGATGCTTGACCAACTCATAGAAGGTAAGCCTCATTTATCTATCTACCATTTTGAAATGTATCATGAACTTTAAACAACAACACGTTCACCAAAGAAAATTTTTTCAATAAATTATATTGAAAGAAAATCTCTAACTGACGAAGCAGTATTTTATTTTCATTCCTTAATATCATGTCAATTTGGGAAAAATTAAAAAAGAAAATGTGAAAAAACTTAGTTACTTTGTGATCTCCATTATTTTCTAAAGTACTTCTGACAATTTGATGCTATTGACATCCTAATGAAGAAAATCGATCGCTTGTCGTTGTGGAAAATTCCAGAATGTTCAAAATACCAGAATGATCGAACGGTGTTTACCTTGTCACTTGTCAGTGGATAAATGTGGAGTTACAACAGAGGAAAAGGTAATATAAGAAGAAAAAAAAAGGAAACAAGAGGATAGAAAAATACGTAGGTAAATACTTTCGACTTTCCAAACCCTTCTCATATATTTCATCGTTGGAGTTTCTATGACTAAAATTCACCTTATTTTCTTCCTGAACACGAATAAAAGAATAGTTCCTTTTTTATTGATATATAGAGGTAAATCGAGGAAGAAGAGTCGAAGTTTTATTGGATTGGTTTATTGATCTTCTTTAGATAGAAAATTAAATTGAAATGACATGTCAGAAGTCTATTTGTTTCATTTTTTCGTATTATTAAATTTTTTAAATTACTCTTGTCAAGGAAATTTTACATTTCTATAATTTAATTGTGAATTATCATATCAACATTGAAGAAGTTGCTTTAAAATCTAGATTATTTGTAGATATATAGACTATCTAATTTAATTTCAATTATTGGATGATTAATTTTATTTAACATTGACAAGATAGAAGAACGTAAGATAATTATGCAAAAGTAGAACTCCTGGTGACGTACAGGCTTCCTAGACTTTTTTGTGCTAGATTTAGAGGGCTAAAACCGTCTTATCGACTTATACAAGATTAGGAACGAAAAGGGAAAGAGTCACTTTTTTTTAATCTTAATCGTTTTATCATTGTTATTGATCCTTTTGACTTGGGATAGTTTTAAAATAATTTTCATCATGTTGATGCTACTGAAAAAAGATTTTATCAAGTAAATTACTCACTTTATTAAAATTACTCATTAAAAGGTTAATTATTACTCTAATTGATCATTCAAGCACTTAATTTAAATATATCCATATAGTAATTAAGTTAATATTTACTCCATACTTGGAAATATTTGTTTAATTCAAATTTAATCAAATATTTACCTGATGAGTCTTTTTTTCAATATGTCAATCTCCACATCCATCAAAAAAATTTTTTTTTAATGAATATTTAAATGTACACAAACTAATCAAGTTTATTTCATCACTCATTTTTTGCTGATTACATCAATTTTTTGGAAAATATATTTCATTTTATGTTAACTTAAACTTTATCATCAAAGAAATGTGTTACAAGTTGAAAGCCACTTTGGTTCATCGAATTTAAAAACTATTGAAGCTTGTTCAATATTTCTAATGAAAATGTCTCTCTCTCTTTCTCTCTCTCTCTCTCTATCTGCAACTACTATCAAATGTAAAAACTTTTTCTTTTTCACTTTGCTAAACTTTGATGCAATTTTTTAGCTTCAATCAATCTCAATTATTCAAGACAAAATTTTCTATAAAATTGGTACGAAAAGGTTTTTGTAAACATAAAAGCATATAAAAAAGTTCATTTCATCATGTTGAAAAATTATCAATATTTGATAGAATTTATTATCAGGCATGGCAGTTGGAAATCAAAGCTACAACCAAAACGAGAGGGTGAGAGGTAGGCCTGGCTTATAGCATTCGTATCGTCTGGTGCTTGCATACATCTGCAATTATAATGTAATCAGGCGAACTTGGGATTATTCTGTTGCCTCGTTGGCAGCAATTCTCGTTGCACAATTTGGAACTAGCTGGCCAATGAGCTACCCACGTTATGTGCCACCTGACACTTGGTATAGTTGTTTTCCTTTCCAAGTATCATCTCTTCTGAAGTAGGGCTGTATTCACTGAGTCAAAAATTCAGTATAATACAATATGACGGTTGAATTAGATACCACGAGTTTGGTGGTGGAGCTTTTTTGTGAGATTTTTTTTTTATCAAATTTTATGATATGAAATTTGTAAGAGTGAAGGAAACCAACGGATGTAAAAGAATATTACAATTGTTAGCCATTCCAGCAGAATACAGCTATAAAGAGAGATAAAAAAATAAGCTGGAATTAGTAAAGGTAAAAAGTTTCCATTTTTTTTACGGTTATATAGATTTTAACTGAAACTCGGAATAATTTTGATTATTATTAACAATTTAAAAAAGTTTTTATATTTAATTTGATTAAATATTAACAGATTTTCGACAATTGTGTAAACTGACTATCTATTCTTTATGCAATCCAACGGATGTATCTACTTCTTATTAAAGTTTAGCATATTTTTTGTATTGATTATTATAAAGTAGCAGAGAAACGACAAGTGCAGAGAGACTATCGTGATCATTAAAGATTCAGTTGCAAGAACATGAATAAAAAAAAGGCATAAAAATGTAAAAAAATAAATAAAATTTATAAATGGAAAAAGGAAACGTTCGTTTCTAGCGACAAAATATATCCATCCGGTAGTCCTCAAAGAATTCATATCGAATGCAATTCGAGGCTAATGGCAGAGAATCCAAGGCTTCAGACACTCTCATCCAATCCCTCTTTCCACATCTCTTTCTTCTTTGACTATACTTCACATAGCCTCATTTGCATTGAAATACACGTGTATTATGAATGTATCTTTGTAAATTTTCTCGGCCTATTTTCAAAAGTCAAATATATATCAAAACGAATAATCTACATTTTGACAGATTAAGCGCATGCCTATATAAAATCTTCATTCACTGTCCTGCAGGCTTCATATTACTTCACAAAGACTTCCATTACTATGTAAATATACTCTCTAAATTTCCTTTGGCAAATAATGGAATTAACTTAACGTTTATCTTTCTGTAACAGTAAATTAATTACAACGGACCTAGCTATTTTTACTTTTGTATCTGTGGATGAAGGTTTAATATGAAAATTCAATTTTACATGATATAAATAGATAATAATGAGAAATAAGAATCGTTTAAATTGTTTTAAATTTTTATTTATTTCTATTTTTTCATTACATGTAGCTTCAATTACCATTCTAATTATTATTACTTACCTTTTTTACTCCAAAAATAGAGATCTCGAGTCGAAATATAATACCTAGTTTCATCCTGCTTTTATTGGTTTCAATTTAATTTTATTTGAGATTCAAGTAATTTCATTCTAATAAAAACATTATTATTCATAATTATTCATTTTATTTTAACACTCATTTGGCTCTTCATTAGCATTATTATCATAAGCATTAAAATCATATATATTTTTAAAAAAAAGTCTGACTGTAATGAGAGTTATAATATTGACCATGTTCATATTTGAAAGAGCAGTTTCATTTAATTCATTATTAAGTTGTAAAAAATCATTTAAAACAATTCAATTTTCAATAAATATAATTGTTGGAAAATTAATTCATTATATAAATCGTGACCTTATTTCAATTATTTCTAAAAGTACTACTAAATATAAGCAAATCAATTTATAAAGTTGAGATCAGGCTATTCTGTCTAGCCTAGAAGGATAAAAATAGTATTAGGATTAAAAGGTTAAAAGTAGATCTTATCATCCTAATTTTTATCTACTCAAAGAATGAAATATAATAATATCAGGATAAAAAGGATGAATCTAGGATAGGAATGATATGAAAAGAATAAATTTAGGTATTATATTTTGACTTGGGTACATAAAGAAAAACATTTTATTTATCAACTTCTTTTCTTTTCTTTTTCTTATCATTTCAAACTCCAAAGAATAATAGTTTTTTTTTCTCACAAAAGGCATTGAGAAAATTTGAATTTTTTTTACTATTCTGCCGGAAGCGGTTTCTTTTTTCCAAGGAAATTGCAACACAGAGCTCTGCTAATTAGGCTTGAAGCTTATAATCTAGAGCTGAAGATAATTTTTTTCTTATAATCATTTCTCCTAAATGAATATTTCTAAAATAAATTTTCAAGTATACTTCTGTAAATGGTAGGTATGTGTGTATGTCATGACTTAGTATGAGGGTGTTGGCGTTAACAATATCTCAAGAGCAGCTCTACGAATTTCATTTAAAGCCCAGTCACCTCTAGACCACTCGAACCCAACGATTGAAGCCTTGTTGAGTGGAATTGCTCTAATTGTATTCGAGATGTTATCATCAAAGCTTTGATGATCATGTACAGCAAAACTTCGTTTGACAATGTCTCGACAGTGATGGGAGAACAGTTTTGGTCAATAATCAGTTTATTGATATATCTTGAAGCAGTTTGATGTTAATGAAATTTTAATCAAAATCTATTGTTTCAATACAATAAGGCCATGTTGAAAATATTTATCAGAAAGTATTCTCTAGATATTTTGCTCCAATTCCTGTGGGTTCAATAACTTATAACTTATTTTTAGTGAATTTAGTTTATTAGAACTAAGATTTTAAACTGTCTTAAAGTATTTGAAATAAGTCAGACTAGAAAGCTTCCAAAGTTCACATGAAATTCAAATAACTCTTTAATGCTTTTTGATGTATTTTGTATGCAAGCTTTTAGAGCTTTTTATATTTTATAAACAACATTTGTGACTTGTGGCTTCTATAAAATACTTTTTATTGAATTTATTTTTTTTTTAATGTTTCCAAGTTCTGAATGTAGATATTGAGGTAAATATTATAGTGGGTAACCCTATCTCTATTAGTAATTGCAGTAATTATAGAATGAATAGATAGGATAGAGACCCCTCGAGGCTGTAGGATAAGATGGATCAATATCATGAGACAACATCTTTTGAGTTAAACTTCTATTCTTTTATACAAAGTTGACATAAAAGAGAGTTCTAAATATAACAAACGTCATTTTTATAAAATTTATATATC